ACAAAGAACTTTATCAGATTAACTGACAAAACTGAAATGATGAATAATAAATGGAATCAATGTAAATTTATGTAGTTCATAACTATACTGTGGTTATGCAAGAAAATAATGCTAATATTCACTTAAGTATTCAGAGGTAAAGGACCATAACTAATCCTGAAATGATTAAGAAAGAAAAAAAATTACAGAGATGGAGAGAGAAAAAACTGAGCAAATAATAAAACAAATAGAATAAAATGTTAAATAACAGGTGAATCTGGATAAAGCGTATACAACTGTTCCTTGTATTATTGTCTTCTTGAAACTCTATAAGTTTATATTAGTTCTAAATAAAAAGTTAAAAATTATATATGTAGTCAACTAGACCTGCACTATCCAATACAATAGCTGCCAGCTACATGAGGCTGTTGAACAATTGAAATATGATTAGTCCAAATTGAGATGCGCTGTTACTGCAAAAAAGAATGTAAAGTATGTAATTGCTAATTTTTATACTGATTACATGTTAAAATATTTTAGATATACCAGGTCAAAGGAAATATATTTTTTAAATAAATTTCACCTCTTTATTTTTACTTTTTTTAAATGTGGCTACTTGCAACTTGAAACTATATATGTGACTCATCTGCATTGGACAGGGCTGAGCTAAACAAAATCTCCAAAATGAGGTATAACACTATTTTTGTAAACTTCTCTCTCAATTTCTTTCTACTCTAAAAATATCTCTCTCTCTAAAAATCACTTGGTTTTAAGCTACCTAAAGATAGGGATTGTGTCTTATTCACTGTTGTGTCCCAGTATTTAGCACATAGCAAGTATCATAAATATTTGTTTATTGAAAGACAATATGCAAAAGAAGGAGTGTGGGCAGGAAGACTGTACTCATTCTCATCTCTGAGTCATTGCTTATACCGTAACTCCTTCCTAGAAGGAAACTTTTCTCTTCCTTTCCTAATCACACGCCTTCAAAAGAAAACCCATTTTCTCATGCCCATTTTCTCCAAGGAGACTTCCCACTAATGCAGGTTCATTTCTGATCTTTCCTCCTCTGTACTACTATAGCCTTCATTCGCTATATCATTTACTTTGGCACTTAATCATATAAGTTCATTGAGTGAGAAGTTATGTCTCATATTTTTTCCTATACTAGTACCTGCCTTCCACAGTAACTAGCATAGTACTAACCATACCAGTTTGAAGTGGGGGAGGGGGAGAGACAAGATGTCAAGAAAAGAGAAATAGATTGGGAGTTCGAAAACTTTGTTTTCACATCAAACTGTGTTGCTTAGATAAATCACTGAATCTCTGTTTCTACTTTCTCATTTTTTAAATCAGAGAGACATAAAAGTCTCCTACTTCTACAATTCTAGAATAATTAAAACCATTTTTCTTTTACAATATTATTGATACAGACCAGTAAAACTACATAGAATACACAAATGTTAAATTACAGTAAGTCAAGAAAGAAAAGCAACAAAGTTTATAAACTGCCTAACGTACTAAATGCTGATCATCTTTCTGGCCATCAGCACTTTAAATTCACATTTCTCTTCAGAGGACTATTAAGCAAAATAATCCATATACACATATTGGAGGGACCTCAATTTTTTTTTTCCAGACCTTTTCAAGCCTCAGAGAGACACCCTTTAGAAAGAGGAGAAGGAGGAAGGGAATCTGACACTAAGTTTTCTATAAAGTACCCTGGGACCTTATTGGTGATGTTCAAAGACTCTGAATTATAACTATACATTGTCTGTTTCTTCTTTCAAAAATTCTATTTAAAGGGCACTATTCAAAAGGAAATTACAACAATTAAAAAAAGTAATCTAAAAACAATGTTAAAGAAATGCAATCTAATGTCAAAGCATTGATACTATTTCAAAGAATCTCTAAATCAGCAACTTTACTTTTAAATCTTCTATCTTAATATCTCTGCTGAGAAGTAAGGTTATCAGGGTGGGATAAAATAAAATAGTTACTACGTTATATAATTTAAAGATTTCAGCCCAACTGGCATGGCTCAACCGTTGAGCATTAATCTATGTACCAAGAGGTCACTGTTTGATTCCCCAGTGGGGGCATGCAAGAGACAGCCACTCAATGATTCTCTCTCATCATTGATATTTCTATCTCTCTCCTTCTCCTTTCCTCGCTGAAATAAAATAAATAAATAAAGATTTCAGTTATACTTGTTAATAAATATCATCTGTGGAGTTACTAAAATATATAGTCTAGATTCTAAACTATTAATAAAATCATAAGATTTCTTTAAGACTTTTATCAAAATGCCCCTATTAAATGCTGGGCATTAACACTGACCCATCTATAAGGTAACAGCTGAACTTCGGCAGGCACTCAACGACTCTCCTAACCTGGTCTGTAGCTACCTCTGGAGTCTCATCTCCCACCAATCCCTGGGCATCATTCCACTTCCTAAACTTAATTGTTCATGTTCCCCCTAATATTACCCACCCTTTTATGACTCCATGTCTTGGCATATATTGAACATTCTGCTAGATATGCCCTTCCCTCTTTTGAGCTTCGAATATGCCTTCCTTCCGGAAGTTTTTCATGACTGCCCCAACACCCTCCTACAAAGTAGCTCCCAGGGCACTCTTCATTCTTCTATTACATAGCACATTAATCACTACTTTTAAATGTCCACTTCCACAAGCAGGCTGTGAATTCTAAATGGAGGGGCCATATCTTATTTAACTGGTTCCCAGCCCCTAGCCTATCACTGGTATTTACTGATACTCAGTATAAGTACACTGGGGGGAAAAAAGTGTAATTAATATGAGAAACAATTCAAACTTTCCTATAAAAGAGTATGTACATTTAACACAGTGTTTCTCAACCAGGAGCAATGTTGCCCCTAAGGGACATTTGGTAAAGTCTTGGAGGTATTTTTAGTTGTCACATAAGGGGAAGAGGATTTGGGGAGTGCTACTGGCATTTAGTGGGTAGAAGCCAGAGATGCTGCTAAACATCTTACACTGTAAAGGACAGCCCCCCAAAACAAAAAATTATCCAGGCACAAATATCAATAGTGCCATGGTCAAGAAACTCAATTGTCAACTGACATTCATATGTGATAATTCCATATCACATCTCAGCAATAACCAGAATAAATTCCAATTTTGCAGTTTCATCTGAAATGTATGCAACAGTTGATGTATATGCACCAACAGTAAAAATTATCTTTATATAACTGTAACGCTTAACAACATTAAGAGTCCTGGAAAGCATCCCATATTTCTGGAAACCAAACTTTATTTTTTTAATATATTTTTATTGATTTCAGAGAGGAAAAGAGAGGAAGAGAGAGATAAACATCAATGATGAGAGAGAATCATTGATCGGCTGTCTCCTGCAAGCTCCACAATGGGCATCGAGCCCACAACCCAGGTATGTGCCCTTGGCCGGAATCGAACCTGGGACTCTTCGAACCTGGGACCCTTCAGTCCGCAGGCCAACACTCTATCCATTGAGCCAAACCGGCTAGGGCTGAAAACTAAACTTTAAAAGAAACCACAGGAAAACTAATTTTTGGTTCTGGAACCATGACAAAAAAAATCTGAGGCATGAGGTAATTCATTCCTCCGGCTCTGATAAAAGGAAAATCATTAAGCACAACAAGTAAATCATGCACAGATGTCTTTACTGTTAAACACAAAAACCTATGGCAAGAGCAAATGGCATACCCTTGCTATTGCCTAAATCACCAGTTTATTAAGATTTAAAAAAAAAAAAAAAATCTCTGACAAAACCAATGCAAAAAAATCATCAAATGTCAATAAAGGGTGGCAGATAAGAAGTTAACTATTTCTACCCCTGACATATGACCAAGTTTCACATGCCTTGAAGATGTCACAAAAGCTATGCCAAAACAAGAATACTCCCTTTGTATATAGTGGTTGACTCCACTGTCTTTGGCACATTGGGTGAATGTCACAAATTCACTAATTTCTTCTGTCTTTTGAATCAGTTATCCTACTCACACAATAACCAACACATGGGTTTAGCACCAACTACAGAAGCATTTACATTTTGTTGCAACCTATTAGTCTCAAAAAGCCATCCAAAACAAACAAAAATTGAGTACAGTAACTAAATAGATTCGGGAAATAGAGTTTATGTCATTATAGGAACTGATTGCTAAACAATACACCTACAGCTTTCCTATGCTCTAATCTCTATCTTAAGTTTTTTTCCAGATTTTTAAATACAGAGAGCACTGGTAGAAAGTGAAGGGGTAAACGTATACCACTGGATCACGCTAACTGCGGATTTATTCTTGGAGAGCACAAAAAAGAGACTGGCTGGGAGAGGAAAATGCATTTTTAATTGGGGAAGAAAAAAAAAAGTTTCCAACAGTGAGTAATGTCTTCTTTCTCAGCTGACTTTGCCAGTAAGTGTGGGTACCAGGATCGGGCCCACGCTAGGCCGGGTTTCGCCACTCTACACTCCAACACGGTCCAGATGCAAACCCGAAGCCCTGCGTGACAGGTGCGCGTGGGGTAAAGGTGGGGGTCACCGCGGTCGCGGAGAGTGGGGTTCGCGCTCAGCAAGCCGCCGCGCCCTCCCGCGGGGCGACCTCCGGCCCGGCAGGCGGTCCGCAGGCACGAACTCCACCCGCACGCCCAGTCTGGGATCCGGAGGAACGCGGTACCACACCCTCCCGCCCGCCGCCTCTCGCACTGACAGCCCCGCGCCGCAGCGGGGCGCCGGGCCTGGGCGCGCGGGGCCGCGGAGGACCGGGCTCCAGGCCCCGGGCTCCGGCCTGCCGCCCGCTGCCGCCCCGGACGCCCTCCCTGCCCCCACGGCCTGACCCCGGGCGGACGACCGCGGCCTAATCGCCTCCCGGGCGGCAGGGCCTAGAGGAGGAGGGAGCCCGCGCCGCCCGCTCGGCTGCTCAGCGCGGCGGCGGCGCCACCCGCAGCCCCGGGCTCGGGACCGCCCGCTCACGTGCCGCCGGGAAGACGGTTTCCCCCTCTTACCCTCTGCAAAATCCTCCTTAACATGGTTTAAGCAGCCCGGCGCGCCGCGGTGGCTCTCCGGACCCACGCCGGGCCACTGCCTACTCGAGGGTGAGCGCGAGGAAGGAACTTAGCCAGGAGGGGACCCAGAAGGAGGTCGGGACGAGGCGGTGGCGGCCCCTGGAGCGGCCCGGATTTCCCCGCAGGCGGCGAGAGGGAGCGCGCGTGAGCCAGCGACGAGGCAGCCGCCGAGCGTCCGCCCGCCGCCGGGCCGCCCCCGTAAACTGACAGCTGGGCGGGGCCGCCCGACAACGCCCCGCCCTCCCGGCCTGTCCATCCGCGGGGGGCGGGGCTGGAAGGGGCCTGGCCAGGCCTCGCACCAATCGGAAGCGGTGTGGCGTGAGCGACTGCGTGACGGACAGGCGGCAGGATCCGGGCCGCCGCTCCTTCCGGTGGTCGGGAGAAACGGTGGTGGCCGAGCGCTCCCTCGGGCTCCGTCCGAGGCCGCGCCCGCGCTCCCACCACGTGCCGGCTAGGGAGGCGGGCGGGGAGCCTGGGGCCCCGTGCGGGGGTCCCTGGCCGGGCCCGGAGGAGGAGGCTCCGGGATGGGTGCCCGGCTACGGCGCCGCAGGCGGTTCTGTAAACTTGTCAATGTGACCCTGGCCTGGAGGAGAACGGACTGGATTCTTATTTCTGCCGGAGGCGCCGGGGTGGAAGCAAAGGAGAGAATCGCTGTGGAACTTGGGTGCCCTTGACCGACTCCTGGTTTCTTATCCCTACTTCCTTCCTGCTTCAGAAAGTAACGAATCGGGAGAAAGGGTAGGGAGAAACTGGAATTGTAGTTAGCAAAGAGAAGTTCGGGTGTTTTGGGGGGGAGTTTTTTTTTTGTGTGTTTTTTTTTGAGGGGGAAGGGGGATTATAGCAACATTATTTAATGGACTGATGTCGCTAACATGTTGCACTTTATCTTTCTGAAGCCCATGTTTAGCCCATTCTAAGAAAGTTTAAACCCTATTCTGATAATAGATATATGAAGGGAATTGGCATTAATATGTCTGCTTTATAGATTAAGAAAAAATAATAAGGTCACAGATAACGTGTCAAAACAAGGACGTGGACTTAAGACTGGAACGATGTCATTATTTAAAGTGAAAAATCACAACTTCAGAGTCCCACCATTCTGCTAGTATTCACAATCTAAGAGGTTTGACTTTACAGGGAACTGGAGGGAATAATGTAATTTACCTAGGAAGTGGGGGGGCTGAAATCTACAAAGCAATGATTGGACTGCTTATTGGAAAGTATTTATAGACTTTCGAGAAGATGCAACAAATAAACAAATATTGCTCTCAAATGAGTTAATGTAAAAGTGTTTTGTAAAGTGTAAAATATTATATGACGTAACATGTTTCTATCCCAAATGTTCTATTTTTTCTCTGTGCCTATAGTGAAGCAAAAGAGTCATGCCTGCAACTAATATATTATTAATCACTATTGATAATAGAACACTTAAGTACTTCCAGGCAAACAGAGCAAAATGCACACTTTTCCATCTTTCCAGACACAGGTGCATTATTTTCATACAATATGGGAAATATTTGCACCGACTAAGGTGATAAAACTGTGTGATATAATAAATACATATTTGGTGTCTGCCCCAAGTTCCTGACACAGAGCTTCTAAAACCTTTGTAATTTCCTCACTATTAGGGTGCTAGGAGCATCTTTCATTCTAATATTTGACCTTTGACCCTGGTTCCTGACACCAGAGCTTCTAAGATCCTTGAAATCCTCAGAGTGATAATTATCTTTTTTTATGCTAATGAATGACTTCTGGCCTGGGCTCCCTAATAGCTTTAGGATTGGGGTTCATCTCCAGAAAGACCTAGGCATGATTAGAAGGTTTAAATTTTCAGCCCGGCTGGCGTGGCTCAGTGGTTGAGCATTGACCTATGAACCAGGAGGTCAGAGTTTGATTCCTGGTCAGGACTCATACCCAGGTTGCCAGCTTGATCCCCAGTGTGGGGCATGCAGGAGGCAGCCTATCAGTGATTCTCTCTCATCATTGATCTTTCTATCTCCCTTCCTCTCTGAAATCAATAAAAATATATTTTTAAAAAAGAAGGTTTAAATTTTCAGACCCACCCCCTCCACTTACAGGAGGGAAGAGGGGCTGGAAGAACTCATCACTAATAGGCAATAAATTATGCCTATGTAATGGAATTTCCATTAAAAAATAAGAATAATAATAATAAACCTAAACAATGAGGTTTGGAGAACTTCCAAGTTGGTGAAGCCATCAAGGTACTGGGAGAATGATGTGCCTGGAGAGAAAAGAGAAGCTCTGAGTCCCTTGCTTCATAACTTGCCCTATGCGTCTCTCCTATTTAAGCTGCCCCTGAGTTGTAACCTTTATAATAAACTGGTAATAGTAAGTGAAGCATTTCTCTGAGTTCTTTGAGCTGTTATAAAAAATTATTGAACCTGAGGATGGTGTTGTGGGAACCCCCAAATTATAGTCAGTTGGTAAGAGAAAAGGTGACAACTTGGGACTTTTGACTGGTGTCTGAAGTGGAGGGTGTTCTTGTGGGACTGAGTGAGCCCTTAGTCCGTGGAGTCTGTGCTAACTCTGGGTAGTTAGTGCCAGAATTGAACTGAATTGTAGGACACCCAGTTGGTGTCCGAAAATTGGAGAATTGCTTGGTGTGGATTAAAACCCCATACATTTGGTGTCAAAAGTATTGTAAATAGAGAAAGAAAACACTTTTTTTCATTTAAAATGATATTTGTTTCTCTTTTTTATTTGTTTTTCAAAAATTAATTTTGTTTAAAGCTGCTTATAATGTCACAAGCTAAGACCATCTTTACTGGAATTCTCCTATGGGACCTTCTAATAGACTCTCATCTTAGCAACTGGGTTATTAAAAAATCTGTGTGCTCCCCTGTGTTAACATAAGAAACACCCAAATCTGTAAAGAATTTTTATGAGTTTGAGTCAAACTGTTGACAATTGCCAGGAAGCAGAATCTCAACATATTGAGATAATGCTCTGGAGAATGGTGGTTTTTCACCTTGTTTTATACATTACAATCAAAAGAGGAGATGTAAGTGGATTACATGAATGCCATTACTGATAGATTAGGGAGGTGGGAGAAAGCAATGTGGGGAAATCTCTAGGACTGAATAAAAAGTAAAGTGATAGATACATACTTCTTTTACATAGGTGGGTATAGGATAGTTAACAGTCAACAATTAAGATAACAATAACAATGAGGGAATTTGTGGTCTCTGCCCTGGCACCCTGCACATTGGTTGTGCCCTGGGAGTCTGGGAAAAGAGAAGTTAACAAGTTACCCTGACATTCTACAGGTATGTTACCTTAGATGCAAAAAGAAATAAGTTCAGTAAAGACGAAGTTCATCTTTTTCAGGGAAGATACTGGCCTAGGACATGACTACCCACTATACTGGTAAACTGCTTTTCAAGTAAAAGGTTTTAATTTCAGACCATCCTTTGTGGTTACTTTAGGTCTCTTAGTTTGCAAGGCCGCCACACAGGCCTTCCCTGAGTTAGGTTAGCTTGCGGCCCCTTTTCGTCCACACCTGCAATTTATGATAACTCCATCACTGGAATAATTTGCTAGAGAACTTGATTACTGCAAAAGAAAATAAGCAGTGGGTGTGAAAATACCCTTCACTAATCTAGCAGCTTCCCACATATAACAGGTCTTTTACCCTATCTGGCCACTATATCCTATTCCTTCAGCTCTCTTATACCAATGTTCCATCAGTTCTTTGACCTCACCAAGACCTCCAGTCCACTGGATACTCTTACTTTCTTACTATCACCCATTTCCCTAGGGTCCTCATTTCCATCAAAATCTAGTTTTGTATGATCCAACTTTATAATCCCCCCACCTTTGTAAATTTATTTAACTTCTTCACCTCTCTCTTCCTCTGTTGTTTTCATCTAGCAGAAGCCAAACCCAACTATCCACCTACTCTGTGCTTAATATCACTAGAGACGCACATATACAACTGGGGCAGTTGGGCTCATTTTTCATTACCAGTATAGCCACAGACCTAAGGGAGGAGCTCAGCACAGTCCAGCAGCAGTCCTGTTACACTCTCCTCCTGTCTTCTTTCCCTAGATCACCAAAATGGCCTGCACACTTACAGTTGTTTCACTTTTACCTTGCATTTTCTTTTTTAACCCACTCTAGTCAAACCTTCTCACCTACACCAATGAGACTGCTCATGTTAGGATCATAAATGACCTACATGTTGCTTAATCCAGTGACAACTTTATTGTTTTTTTACTTTGATTCTCATTTACACTCAAAATAGTAGACCACCCTCTCCTTGAATTATTTTATTCTCTTGGCTTCCTTGACAATACACTTTGTTTTTTCTCCTCAATGACCATTCCTTCTCAGACTCATTTGATAACTTCTCTACTGTCTATCTGTTTTCTTAAATTTATTGGAGTCCATTGGTTAATAAAATTATATAGATTTCAATTGTAAAATTCTATGGTATATCCTCTGTATATTGAATTGTGTGTTTGCCACCCAAAGTCAGATCTCCTTCCATTACCATATATTTGAACCCCTTCACCCTTTACTACCTCCCCCACACTCTCCTTTCCCTCTGGTAACCACCATATTGTTGTCTGTGTCTATGAGTTTTTGTTTGTTTGTTCATTTGTTCCTTTCAGTTTTATATCCTACACTAGAGGCCCGGTGCACAAAAATTTGTGCACTCAGGTGGGTGGGGAGGATCCCTCAGCCCGGCCTGTGCCCTCTCACAGTCTGGGAACCCTCGGGGGATGACCACTTGCTGGCTTAGGTCTGCTCCCCAGGGGATTGGGCCTAAGATGGCAATCAGACATCCCTCTGGCAGCCCTGCAGACCTCAGGGGATGTCCACTTGACAGCAGGGAGCAGACCTAAGCTGCAGTCAGACATCCTTAGCGCTGCTGAGGAGGCAGGAGAGGCTCCCACCACCACTGCTGTACTGGCAGCCATCAGCCTGGCTTGTGGCTGAGCAGAGCTCCCCCATGTGAGAGCGCCCTGACCACCAAGGGGGCAGCTCCTGCATTGAGCGTCTGCCCCCTGGTGGTCAGTGTGTGTCATAGTAACCAGTCATTCCCAGTCGTTTTGCTGTTATGGTCAGTTTGCATATTACCCTTTTACTATATAGGATAAAGGCCTGGTGCACAGGTGGGGGCCAGCTGGTTAGCTTTGAAGGGTGTCCCGGATTAGGGTGGGGGT